GTACTCAAGATCGAAGGACGAGGAGCAAGAGGGGAACACGGCGCAAGCTGGCCTCACTCCATCAAACAGGTCCTCCATTCTACGGTCGACCCAATATCTCTGGCTCTTGTCCTCGGCCGGAAGACGCAAACACCACAACGACTCGTATCGGGGATGGACAGGCCTCCCTTTAGTAAAACGTGGTTTAGTGAAAACGACCTGAGGCCCAAACCTGGCGGGCGCAGGCCTGGAAAATAACGACCACGGCGCCCTCTCGAGAACCGAAAACGAGCAATTCGCTAATCGACGTGTCACTGTTGGGGGGTTCTGTCCACCCCCGATGGGAACGCAGAGTAGACGCGATGTGCACAGAGCCCAGCGGGCGGTGCGCCGAGTGGACGTTCTGGGGACGAAGGACCAGGGCAACGCTCGGGACGTGGACGCCTGGGGACTGGGATGGGGGCCCAGAGAACATACACCACCACCACGTCGATTCCTCCTCTCTCCTCTGCATTTGGGGCGTTGACCTGAGGAACCCTAGATGAGGAACGAGGCCCCTTTTTTTTCCATAAGTTGAACTTCGATCTCCAATCGAAGACATAAGGGGAACCTGAGGCAAGCTGTGAAACACGTAAGGAACGCCGAGCCCCTCCCCAGCCAAAAGGGTTCCTTCTTCAGGGCCTCGACTGTACACCGCCACCACGTCGATTCCTCCTCTCTCCTCTACCCTCATCGTCCCTTCCTCTTTTCTGGGGGAGGGAGGGGGTGAGGGAGGTGGTGGTGGTGGTGGTGTTCTCTCCTCTACCCTCATCTTCCCTTCCTCTTTCCTGGGGGAGGGAGGGGGTGAGGGAGGTGGTTGTGGTGTATATTTTAGGGCCCCCCATGGGACGTTCTTAGCGTGTCGGGCCGAAGCGTGGCGGGCGAGAACAAGCGGCGCAACACGCTAAGCGAGCGCTCCTGACCGCAACCCGAGCGATCATTTTTGTTCGGAACGCAGTTCGGGTCTCCGACGGCCGTTCGGGACGATCCGGGCACCCCCAAAACATCATCGGCGAGGCGCAGCTGCTGGAAGGCATCCCGAGACCCCCGAAAGCCAATGAAAACCCTCGAAGACCTCGAACCTCGAACGCGCGACGCCCTGGGCAAGAGTTCCGGACCGTAAGACGACGACGTCGACGTCGGACAGCGAATCAAACGCTAAGCACACGTTTGGGGGCGTCTTGGCCCGTCGTGGGCGCCCAGAGGAGCGGACAAGCAAATATGCGAAACAAATTACGCTACCGAGGAACCCAACATACTTATCATGTTTCTTGCGTGGTGATAGCTGCACCCTCTCTGGTGTCGAGAAAGTGCCACGCTTTCCGATCCCGGCACGCATAGAGACCGCGCTGAGGGACCACCCCCTGCGCACCCTCTCGGGTGTCGAGAAAGTGCCACCCCTGCCACGCTCTCCGACCCTAGCACGCATAGAGACCGCGCTGAGGGACCACCCCCTGCGCACCCTCTCTGGTGTTGAGAAAGCGCCACCCCTGCCACGCTCTCCGACCCTAGCACGCATAGAGACCGCGCTGAGGGACCACCCCCTGTGCACCCTTTCTGGTGTCGAGAAAGTGCCACCCCTGCCACGCTTTCCGACCCTGGCACGCATAGAGACCGCGCTGAGGGACCACCCCCTGCGCACCCTCTCTGGTGTCGAGAAAGTGCCACCCCTGCTACGCTCTGCCGTGCCGTGCCCTGCGCGCCAGCCTTGTGTGCTATGCTGTGCTGTGCTGTGCTGTGCTGCTGTGCGGTGAGCTGTGCTGTGCTGTGCCGTGCTGCGGTGAGCTGTGCTGTGCTGTGCTGTGCTGTGCTGAGCTGAGCTGAGCTGAGCTGTGCTCAGCTGTGCCGTGCTGAGCTGAGCTGAGCTGAGCTGTGCTGAGCAGTGCTGTGAGGAGGGGGAGGGGGAAGAGTGAGGTGAGTGTCGCGGGTTTGTCGCGGGTGCGGCGCGGCAACCCTCCTCCATCCTCCCTCATCCCTCCTCCTTCCTCCCCCCTCCTCCTTCCCCTCCTCCTCCCTCCTCCCTCCTCCTCCACCTCCTCCTGCTCCTCCTCATCCTCCTCCTCGTCCCTCCTGCGGTTGCGAAGGAGAAAAACGAGGCGGAGAAGGAAGGAGGAGAGAGCAGATGCGAAGGAGGACAGGAGGAGGGAGGTGAAAAATATGGAAGGCGAGGGGGAGGAGAGGGGGAAGCGAGAAACGAGACGAGACCAACGCAAGAAACTTACACGCTCCGCTAGAGAGCCCAATCGCGTCCATAGCCTCAGCACAGGGGGTGCAAACTTAACCAAGAGGCAGTCTGGCCGCTCATTGGGCGAAGTCGTGGAAGGCGAACCGAGGCTGTGAGCGGGAGGGAAGTATGGGAGGAGGGCACAGAGGAGATGGAGAAGAAGTAGGAGGTTAGAGGAGGAGGCGGAGAAACACTAGCAGGAGGAAGACGAGGGTGACAGGTCGGGATGGTGCGACGGAGATGAGAAGGACGGGGCAGGGCTGTCCTCCAGCCGCGCGCTCTGTTTGAGGAGCGATCCGTGTGGCTGAAGTGCCGCTTCTGCCAGCGGGGTGCGCACGCTGTACAGGGCCAACGATGGCCGCCTGGGAAACGAAATCTGGCCACCCCCCGCCCGGGAACAGAAGCGATGGGAGACTGGAGAGCCACCTGCAGCCTACAGACCGACCTACCACAGCGCCGCGCGACTTCAAATGCGGCGGCGGCGAGGCGCCTCCGGGTGCTCGAGCACCGGCGCGCCCGCTGAAACGTGACGCCACTCTGCGCCCCTCCTGCTTCTCCTCCTCCTCCTCCTCCTCCTCCTCTCCTCCTGCTCCTCCTCCTCCTCCTCCTCTTCCTCTCCTCCTCCTCCTCCCTCCTCTCCTCCATCCTCCTCCTCCTCCTCCTCCTCCTCCTCCCCCCTCACCCTCCTCCTCCTCCTCTTCCTCCTCCTCCTCCTCCTCCTCCTCTTCCTCCTCCTCCTCCTCCTCCTCTCCTCCTCCTCCTCCTCGCCAGGGGGCGCTGCGCACTGCACCCCGTAGTTGCCAGAGCGCACGCGCGGGGCATTGCCCCCGCAGGAGGATGCGACGAGGCGAGGCGACAACGTCCGCGGCACCGCGTGCCTCAGCACGCGGCCGTGCGCCCTCGAGGGCGACGGCGAACGGGGGGGAGCGTCACCCCTCCACCTCCACTGCCCCGTGATCAAGGAGCGGCACAAGAGGAGGAGGAGGAGGAGGAGGAGGAGGAGGAGGAGGAGGAGGAGGAGCCAACCTCAAGCCAAAACTGGGGGCCCTGTGCAAACAGCAAACTCAAGCCATGTGCACGCGTTGACTCACTTCGGGCGTCAAGACGCTCAATAACAGGAGGAGGAGTAGGAGTAGGATTCATTTTACTCAGATCGAGCGAAACATGCATGGCATGCCCATTCCCACCCGCCATCCCACAACATAAGACACAGTGCTGGCACAACTGGGAGCCGAGATCACATCGGCGAGCTGGTTTGGCACAGCTGATGCGGCCGCGACACCGATGGGAACTCCCCAACTCGTCTCAAAGGCTGCGCGGGCATTTCAGCACGAGTCGAGGATGCCCCAAGAGGACCCAGGAAGATTCAAGAGGGCCCCTGGAAGCCCTAGGATGTTTCAGGACAGCCCAGGGAGCCCCAGGAGGCCCCAGGAGTCCCCTGAAGGCCCCAGCGAGTCCTTCCCCAGGAGGCCCAGGAAGCCCCAGGAAGCCCCAGGAAACTGAGCTGGCCAAGCGCATCGCGCTCGGCCAGCTGGTATGGCAGAATTCTTGCAGCCACGATTGCGGTGGCCGATGAGAACTGGCCCAACGCGCCTCAAAGGCCGCGCCAGCGCGCGAGCTGTGCAGGTCGGTGATTCGGGCGGGCGCGATGGCATGGTGACGTCGACCACGGTGGCGACATGATGAGGAGGGCGGTGGCCCGCGATGATGGCGACAACGACGGCAAGGCCAGCGACGGTGCCGATGATGGCGACGACTCTGGAATGATTTGGACATGCGCTCGCGGCGACGCGCGCGCATGTTGGCCGCGTGGTATTGTTTGACAGGATTCGCGCCCAGGGTGCATGACAGAGCATCGCGAGTGCACCGCGCGGCGTGATGAGACCGCTGGCTGTTTAACGAAATCATGGGAACCTATGGTTTTCCTATGATTTCAGCAAACGCGCGCGGGCAAGAATTCTGAAGATTTGTGGTGAAAAAACCATAGGGTGTTTTAGGTGTGTAGGTTGATATGCTTGCAAACACAGTGTGTTCGGTAGGATGTTGACATGAATGCGCGCGTGTGCACTTGATGACTTTTTTGCAACGGAGTATCGGCGTGGACGACAGGACGTCCATGCTGAGAGGAAAAATTAAGAAACATGTTGAAATTTGTATTGCTGTTGGTAGGTTAGGAGCGGAGGTCCCGGATAGGGCGGCTATCAGCTGGGGAGAGGGGGGGAGGAGTATATTCGAATCAGGAATAAGGATAGGAGGAGGAAGAGAAGGAGGAGGAGGAGGAGGAGGAGGGGGAGCAGGGGAAGTGCGAGGGGGAGGGGGAGGGGGAGCAGGAGGGGGGCTGTTGGAACCGCGCTCGAGGCCACGGCGAAACTTTGCCAAGGTCAGGAAAACCGCGTGGCAAAACCAAAGCATGTCATAGGGGCTACCAGGCAAAGCCGCGGGTATGGCCATCCTGGCATGCATGCCCAGCCTGTACGGCTTGGGCCTAGAAGGAGGAGGGCGGAGGGAAGGCGACTGTCAGGAACTTTTGCTTAGCCTGTCGCGACGAGGCCCTGGCGACACGCCTTGCCCTGCGAGCGCATTGCGTTTCGCTCCGCTCCGCGGGGCGGGATGCTGGAAAAGGCTGGGAAAGTTCACCGCTTCGGGGCTGGGACGTGGATAGCGTGTCGCGCATGAGGCGTCGTGGGCCAGAACCGGCAACGACACGCTAAGCCGAAGTTCCTGACCGCATTGAGGACGCAGGCCAGAGGCTGGCAGCTCACCAGCCGCTGCCAGGGACGGCCGTGACGCCCGCCAGGGGCTCGCGGTCGGAGACGTCGCCGTGCGGCGGGAGCGCGCCCGGGGCCTCCCGGCCCCGGCTGCCTCGCCGCCCTGGCGCGGCGGCGCCCGCTGCGGCGCCGCAGCCTCGGCGCAGCCGCTGGGCGGCAGCGGCAGCAGCGGCCACGGCGGCCACCGCGGCGGCGGCGGCTGCCCAGCAAGTCGAGGCCGCCACTGGCAGCGGCCAGTGCCACCCGGAGAGGAACTTGCGCCGCCCGATCATGGTGGAGGCGGCCCCTGGAGCAACGTGGACCTCCTGCAGCCGGGGCCCCGGGAACTCGCTGCACTGGGGCGTGAACGTTTTGCACCCGGGCCCCCGGTCGTTAGCCACGGCGTCCCGGGCGTTGGCGCCGACGCAGGCGGTGAACTCGCCCCTGGCGCACACCCATCTCGACATGCCCGGGGAGTCGTCCCAGTACGAGAGGTCACGGCTGGTGAGGGTGAAAGTCACAGCGGTGGGCTGCTTCGGTTCCACCAGGACCTTGGCGAAACCCTTGAAATGGTAAAGCTTCGGGCTGCGCGCAGACAGCCAGCCCCGGGTAGTTCTGGCTGAACTCAACATGCCTCCCGAGTAGTCCGGGGCGGTCTCGGCACCCCAACCCTGTGGCGCAGACCGTCCCAGGGGCGCCGCCGGAGTTGGCGCCAGGATGTGGAGACCGCCCCGGGCTACTCAGGGGGTGGTTGAGGCCAGCCGGGACTACCTGGGAGGGCTGTCTGTGCGCGATCCGACCCTGACCTTGCAGAGTGCTTAAAACTAGCCCTCCAAACCTACAAACCGTTTTGGGCTGCCTAAAACCCCGACATGAATTTAGATGTCGAAGTCCTGGTGCTATTTTTTAGCCCTCCTGGAAGGTCAGGGGAAGCCTCGCCACCTTGAGGACCCACTCGGGGCGAATCGCCGCATCTCCCGGCACCGAGACCGGGAACTTCAGGTACAGCTGCGGCACGTCCTTGCCAGCCCTGGGGCCGTCGTGCGCGAGCACGGCCTGCACGGTCGCGCCGTCGTTGCGCGGCGTCGCCGCGATGGCGGTGTAGTTCACAGAGCCGCTGCCGTAGGCGAAGAGCCCGAAGCCGAATGGGTAGTTTGGCTCTATGCCATGTGCATGGTACCAACGGTATCCGATCAGTGCCTTGTCGGACAGAGTCCAGTGCTTGCCATCCAGGCCAGTCTTGATCTGGTCCCCCAGCGGGATGCTGCCATCGAACTCGTCGTGCTTCGAGCACGCTGCCGTGGAGCACTTCGGGAACGTGAAGGGCAATCGGCCCGACGCCTCGTACTTCTCGCCGTACAGCGCCTTTGCGATCCCGTTACCGTTCTGGGTGCCTGGAAGCCACGTCACGAGGATCGCGTCCACGCCGTGGTCCCAGGTGCTGGTGATCATCGGGCCAGGGGCGTTCATGACCACGACGACGGGCTTGCCCATCTTCGAGTACTTCTTGATGAGCTTCACGTCCTTCTCCTCCAACTGCAGCGTGCTCCGGTCCGTGCCCTCGCTGGCCTTCTCGGGCACCACCACGATGACCACGACGTCGGCACTGGCCGCCTCTTGGCATGAAGCAGAAGGAACTGGAAGAAATCAAGTTCTGGACCCCGGGGCCGTCCCTCAGGACAAGCTCTTCAGTCTGAGTCGGTTCTTGGTGGCCCCGGGCCCGTGGAGGCCCCGCGGAGGGCGAAACACCTCAAGACCCCGTTTCCCTCACGACCCCCCTTTTCCTTCACTGCGAGCCTCGGAGTTCTCCCCTCCCGCTCCCGGGCAGGACGGCGGCGTCACGCCGTCGATGCCCTTGATGCCGTCCCCGACGTTGACGTACGGCTGCTCCTGGCAGGCCATGCCGTTCCAGCCGCTGCCGCCGCCGATGGCGAGGGGCTCCTCGTGGCAGGCCTCGGAACCGACCAGGGCAACCTCTGCGGTCTTGGATATGGGCAGCACGCCGCCCTGGTTCTTGAGGACCGCGGCCGACTCGGCGATGATCTGGTTGGCGAGGTCCAGCTTGCATGGGGACCTGTAGTTCTCCTCGCCCTCGTGGTCACACATGTCTGGGGCGGCTGCCGCGCCGTGGCCAGGGGCTTCTGCGCCCGCCTTCCCCTCGTCGCTCCGCAGGCGTCGGCTGACCCTCCTGGGGGGGCCCGCCAGACTGGCTGCGCTTGGGAGCCTCAGCTTCCGAATGGCCGCGCTGTTAGGCTCACCCTCGCACCAGGTGTTTGCTTCAGCCACCTTGCACGTGGCCTTCGTGACAGACGAGTTGGAGACTTCGCACCTCGAGCAGCTGTCATCCCCCGCGCTCGGCCAGTAGCAGCAGAACGCCTCGGCACCCTCGGCAGAGGCCGGCTCAACACCGCCCGCACTCTGAGCCCGCTTCTTCTCGCGCCCACTCGGTCTGTGCACCCGCTTCTGGCCCCCACGTCTGGCCCTCTTCTTATCGCTCTTGTGCCCTGCCTTGCCGCCCCGGCACCAAACGTTGCTGCTGCTCACGGCGCACGTCGCCTCCGTCATGCCACCGTCGTGCGACTGGCACGTGGCGCAGGAGTCCTGCTCGTCGCTGGCCCAGAAGCAGCAGAAGGCCCCGCGCGGCCTCTCCTGTCGGTCAGTGCCACAGGGGGATCACAACACCGCATCCTGGAGACCGATCGCCGGGGAGGGCGGAGGATCGAGGATCTCGAGGCCCTGGACGTCTTTGGGGGTCCTGCGGGTGTGCGGGGGAAACGCTTCCTCGAGGAGGTGGCGCCCCCCCAGATCTCCGACGGCGTGATTCTCTCGCAACCCAGGGCCCCAGAGGTCTGGAGATCCCATCCCTGGGACTAGCTTTCCATCCCGAGTTTATTTTCACGGCTCCGACAGCTGGGTGAGGGCCTCTGGAAGCCGAAACTTGCCAAGAACCTCCCGTCGCGACTTCTTCGCAACAAAGAGAAAGGGGGGGGCCTTAGATGGCGTCCCTGTGGGAATCGCCCCGAACCCAACGCTGATTGCCAGGGGCCCAGAAACGGGCCCCCTGAGCTTTGAAGTCAAGGAACAAACGCACACACGCACACACACACACACACGGATTGGAAGAACCCTATCGCTGGAGATCTGGGCCCTTCAAATGGCCCCCCCCCCGTGGCAACTGCCCGGCAAGCCCGAGCTGGATCCATTGGGGGCCACGTGCGAACCCTACCCCTACCCCCCCCACGATTTCTGAGGGGGAGGGTGGGCTTCACTTCGCTCGGGAGCTCCCGAGCGAAGTGAACCCCACCCTCCCCCTCAGAACTCGTGGGGGGGTTAGGGGTCGGCTTCGCACGTGGCCCCCCAACCGCGGGATCGGAGCGGCCACGGCTCGGACCGCCGGCGCACCGCCCCGAGCCGACACACAAAACACCGGGCCGCCGCGCCTGGCTCCGTCCGACCCCGGCCGACGCCCCCGCATCGAATCGAGTCGGCATCGCGGCCCCCGCCGGCGAATCGCATCGCATCGCAGCGGACCGCAGGCGGCCTTGGCTGCCCTTGATCAATGAAGCTGTTCTATAAACCCTGGATCAATGAAGTGCCACGGCATGCATTCCAGGACCGAGCCACATCATGCCTTCGTGGATCTTTCCAAGGAGGAGGAGGAGGAGCAGGAAGGGTGAGGGAGGAGAAGGAGGAGGGCCAGGCGCAAGGGAAGAAGGAAGGAGGATCTGATTTTCCCACTCCGCAGCCCCAGTCGGCGGCCAGCCCGGTGAGGCCGGGTCTTCTCAAAATTCTCGGAGTGTCCCCGGCCTCCTGAGAACTTGTCTCACGGCAGCCTTCCTCGAGGGCACAGGAAACACCTCTCAGAAGGCCGGAGGGCTTCTGAGAGGCCCCGCCGCCTCCTGCGAGGGCCTTCTCCTCCTCACTTCCCTCGGGAGCGGCCTAGAGGGGGGTGTCCAAGAGGGGGGGGGTGCAAATCATGACCGGCGGCATGTGCGCGGCGCAGCGGGGAGGCCAGGGACGCAATGAAATAAGAAGAGGCGGCATGACATCTGGGGAAATGTCATGGCCCCCGCCATGATATCCACCCCCCCCTAGTCATCACCCCCCTCTGGTCCGCCCCCGATTCCCCCCCCCCTCGCTCGCCGCCGAGAAGGGGCTCAGAGGGGCGAGGTGCCGCCCCGGGGGGAGCAGTCACGCAGGGCCTCTGGAGGCCGCGGGCCGGAGGCGGAGGTCATGCCGGCGGGCCTCGGGGCAGCAGGAGGGAGCACGGGGGCAGGGGGGCCGGGGGGCAGGGACGGGGGGAGGAGGAGGAGGAGGAGGAGGAGGAGGAGGAGGAGGAGGAGGAGGAGGAGGAGGAGGAGGAGGAGAGGAGGAGGAGGAGGAGGAGGAGGAGGAGGAGGAGGGGGACGCAGACAGGCGACGTCCTGACTGTTTGAATGGGTGGGCACGTGCCCTGACCGTCCAGGAGGGCCAAAAAGTAGCACCAGGACCTCGACACCAAACATGTCCGTCAGGGTTTTAGGCAGCCCAGATAGGTCGATCGGTCTGGAGTCTGGAGGGCTATCTTCTAGCACTCTGGAAGCTCAGGGTGTGAACCCTACACCCCCGCCCCCCACGACTTCTGCGGGGGGGGGGTCACTCCGCCCGGGCTCGCCGCCGACAGAGGTCCCGACCCATCCCCCAGCGGAGGTTTGTCGTTTCGGATCCCCTGCTGATGTTCCCGCGGCCCGCAGACGGACCCTGGACGCCGAAACATCGAGGAACAGCGCCTGCAATTTGGCAACGTCACGTCGTCCAGTGCCTGGGCACGACGGCGACGACGGCGGCGACGACGACGACGGCGGCAGTCCTCCGCGGCCCCTGCGGGCGCCTCCTCGCCCGCCCCCTGCGTGACCTCCGCCTCGCCGCGGGCGGCCTGCGCCTCGGCGGGTGGTGCCGCCTCGCCGGAGGCCTCCGGGGCGGCGGCGGGCTCCGCGTGCGCCTCGTCGTCGGAGAACCTGCGGGCGCTGATGCGGGCACTAGTTGTATCTACATCCAGTGCGTCTTGGAGTGTTAGGCTCTCTTCCCCAGAAACCGCAGGCGCACTGGATATGGATAAAGATTTGGCCCCACAAGGTCAGATTTTTATCCATATCCAGTGCGCTTCGGCCTTGCGACACCCCTTCCCAAAAAGTCCAAGACGCTCTGGGTATGGGTATAGGTATCGCCCGCAGCTGAGGCCCCCTGCGACACGCAGCACGCAGCGCGCAGCGCGCTGACGCGGGGCTCAGCACGGACTGGCGCGGGGTCGTCCGCCAAGGCGCGGGCAGCTCCGTGCCGGGCCAGCACGCAGCGTGTCAACGCGGCTGCCCCGAGCACGGTGCGGGCCGCGCTCCAAAAAGGGCGTGGCGGGGCAGCTAGGCAAGAGTGGCAGTTCGCCCCAGCCTCCGGCCTCCTTGGCCTGGCCTGGCCCTGCGCCCCCCCCCCCCAGGGCTCGGACTTTTTATACTCCTGCAGACGTGTGTTCTTTAGTTCGGTCGTGACGTGTCGCATGTCGTCGTCGTCATGTCGTCATGTCGTCATGTCGTCATGTCGTCGTCGTCATCGTCGTCGGCCTCGTCATGTTCGTCGTCATCATGTCGTGCCGTGTCGTGTCGTCGTGACCTCCCCTGGCCCCCTTCACCCCCCCAGGCCTCCCCGGACTCTGGGCCCATCTCCCCGAGCTCTCCCGCCCCCCCCAACCCCAAGCCCTCGGTGGCAGCCCCGGCCTCTCGGCCTCCCTGGCCTCCCCGGGCCCTGCTCCCCCCCCTCCCCCCCCCCACCTCCCCACCTCCCCCCTCCCAGAGCTCCGCCCTCTGCATGCTTTTGCACAGCTGCGCTCTTCGTTCCAGTCCAGTCCCGAGTGCTAGACCTGGCCTCTGGCCGTCCGTGCCTCCCCTGGCCTCCCCTGGCCCCGCCCGCCCTCCCAGGGCTTCGGATGGCGTCGTGGCCTCCCCTAGCCTTGTGGATGCCATGACAATGGACACTCTAACAGATAAAGCATTTTCTCAACATTTGTTTGACACTTGTTTTACAGATTAAATCATTTTGAAAACATCTTTCAGACATCTGGAAATTATTTGGCAGCATGCCTCCTCTCCATTAACCGACTTCCACAACCCTAGCCCAAGGCTTCAGACTGCCATCTTTTCGTTGCCGTGCCGTGTCGATGTGTCACGCTTCTCCGTTCCCTCGTCGCTCCCCCGTGCAAGAGCCAGGGCATGCGTGCCACTTGTTATTCACGATCACGCCCGTGACCGGCCACGCCCCCTATTCCCCTGGGCACGTCACGATTCGTGCCAGCACCGTCTGGGAATTCCCAGTCGGCGCCAGCGCGAATCGTGACGTGAAAGGTCCCCACTTCCCCTCGTCACGATCGTTGTCGCTAGTGGTAAGACGCTGCCACCTGGGCCCAGACATCGGACGAGATGTGCTTGTTGCCAGTCTGGGCGTTTCTCCTCGATTTCGTTATGCAGGGGGCGTCCTTGCGCCATGGAACCATTCAAAATTGTTCCGGGACGACAAACCACCTCTGGGGAGTGGGTCAGGACCTCATGGTGCTGCGGGTAAAAAAAATCGGATCCGCAGATGTCAGAAAGGGTGCCTCCCCTGAGATTCAGGCGTTGCATCTTTTTACAACGAGCGTTTTTGGCAAATTCTGGGTCTAGGGGCCATCACGGCTCGATCTGGGTTGAAAAATGCAGCGGGAAGATGGGGCCTGGGGCTCAGGTCGAGCTTACTAAGATGTTGCAATTTCTTCGCGACTACGGATCTCAAGGATTTACACCAGCACCAACGCACGGGGCTGCTACCACCAAGGGAATTTGATCCTGGATGTTGGTGCTGGTGGTGATCTTCCGGGCACCCTTGCAGCACGAATATTCCTACCATAACCGAGATCGGGACCACCTTCTCTCGGTGGATGCTACTGCTGAGACTGGTGCTGGTGCAGACCTCTAGGACCCCGAGAACCAGCCCCTGTTCTCGCCCGTCTCCGTGGCGTCGAAATCCCTGCCCTGCACCAGGTACGCCCACCGCGTCCTGCAGAAAGATAAGAACACACTGCCTAAACACGTAGATCGGCGCTTGATCTCCCCACCTCCTCCTCCCCCTCCCCCTCCTCCTCCTGCTCCTGCTCCTCCTCCTCCTCCTCCTCCTCCTCCTCCTCCTCCTCCTCCTCCTCCTCCTCCTCCTGGCCCGATGATCTGCGCGGATTCCCGTGATCGGCGCTCGATCTCCCCGCCCCTTGCGCGCTCCTCGCGCCAGGGCGGGGGGGAGCCCAACGCCGAGCCAAGACATCCGCCCGGACCTCCGATCTCGCTGCTCGCGCGGCGTTCCCTCCTCCGCTCCTCGCGGCCTTGTCCGCGGCCACGGTCGCATTGGCGAAGCCGCCCGACAGGGACGCGCAGGCGGGCATCTCCAGGTCGAGGCCCCCCGTGGCCGCATAGCTCCCGTCGATGTAGGATCCCACGGCGCATCCCCCGGACTTCGCGGCGGTGGCTTGGCACTTTGTCGCGTCCCAGTCGCTGATGACGATCCCTTTGAAGCCCATTACGCCCTTGAGATGCTTCACAAGAATGTCGTGGTTGGCACAAGCGTAGGCCCTGCCCGCGTTGCACAAGCCCGAGGTGCACTGGACGAGGTTGTACGAACACATGACTGCAGACATCCCAGCGTCAACCGCCGCCTGGAATGCTGGGTAGTACACCTCGAAGAGAGTTCGCTCGTCCACCACCTCGGTCCCGTCCATGCGCCCCGTCTCGATCGTGTTGGGAATGAAGTGCTTCACGGTCTGCAGGGGCGGCCTGTCGAGATCCCTGTAGGCCGTGACCATCTTCTCCACCATGCGGGCCCCAAAGTACGGGTCCTCCCCCCCCGGCCCAGGCCGACGGGAGAACAAGCCTCTGATAGCCACGCCTGGCCGCCTTCGCGGGCGGGCGTGTGCAAGGCGGCGACGCTGCAGTGCAAGGAGGAGGAGGAGAAGGAGGAGGAGGAGGAGGAGGTGGAGGTCCTCCCCCGACATGTACTCGCCCAGCCGGCCATTCCAAGGGTACCGGGCGATGTTCACGCCAGGAGCCAGCTGCCCCCTGTTGCCGAGTGCGCCGCAGCAGGGGGGCTGCGCATGAGGGTCCGAGGCATGGGCGTGGACGGGTGAGGGCCAGGGGATGGGTTAAGATCGGCCACGCGCAAGAGTGACCCTGGTTAAGAGTGAACGTTGGTGCGCGGCGTTTTGGGGGCCGCGAGGGGGCCAAACATAGGCGCGCAGGACGCCTCTACTGCATCGCGTTCGGCGCTCGAGGGGCCCCATTGGGCCCGCACCAGAGGTCACTCCGGCGAAGGGTCCGCTCTTACGTGCTGTCGAGAGAAGAAGGGAGGTTCCCGTGAAATCTGGCAGAAGAGACCATTGTCCCGGCCATGACACCCCCCACCCCCAATCCTCGACCCCCTCTTGGGCGCCTTGTCTTGGCCCCTCGGGCCCCTGGTGGTCTTCGGCCCAGAACCCTGGCCTCCCGCGGCCGTTCGAGACGATCCGGGCACCTCCAGAGAGCCCTCGACGAGGCGCAACTGCGGGAGAGCATCCCGAAGCGAGAAAGCCCTCAACAACCCACGGAAACGCCCGAACACCGCGAACGTCGAACGAGGCCCCCGACCTGTTCGGGGCGCCGAACTCCATCGCCATCTCCCGGGACCACCGCCCCATCAGCTCCACGTCCCAGGCGGCCGAGATGGTCATGGCGCTGGGCCAGCACGGCGAGAAGCCAGAGTCCCACTGGTTGCACTGCGGGCCGTCGCCCCAGGTGCCCGAGCTGCACGAGTACTTCTCCTGCGATGAAGGACCGGCTGCAGCTCGAAACTCCGGGGCTTTCGGACGAACCCTGCGATCCGACGTTACGAAAAAATCGCAACATCGCCAACAATCACGGACCGCAGCCCTGGAGCACATCTTTCTGCGCCATTTTGCGAGCCGGATCCATCTCTGAGGGTCCTGGGGCCCGAAACGGGGCGAAAACTACCGCTGCGAAAAACATTGCAACGCCAGGAGGTCAGGGAAGAGTCGAGGACTCCAAGCTTGAAGGTGCCGGCCTCACGGCCCCGGGGATGCCTCCCAGCGGCTGCCCCCCGTCGAGGACGTCCATGGGGGGGTGCCTGCACCCTCCCGAAGGACCGCCGGAGGCCGGAGCTGGTGGAGCCGAAAACCACTCGGGGACCCGTGCCGGGGGGGAAGCATCGAGCCGGAACCGGCGGCACATCGCAAGTCATAGCTCGGCGATGTTCGGGGAACGAAAAGTGGCGTAGACATAAAAACTCAGAGGTCCGCGCGGATGTCTAGGATCCGCGCTGGACCCCCCTCCCTGGCGCGCGGAGCGCGCCAGGGGCGGCGCCGGAGGCGCCGCCAGGGGGGTCCAGCGCGGATCCGAGAAATCCGGGCGAAGCCGCACGTTTCCAGGGCGGGGTGGGCGACAGGGCCCCGTCTCGGGGATCCGTGGGCGATCGGGGGCCCAGGCAACGCCCCCTGAGCCAATCCACCCCTAACCTCGCCATCGCTCTGACGTCCATTCCTCGTGTATTTTTCGATTTCGCGCGTGCTTTTTTCCGCCAAATGATCAAGGATGGTCCTCGATGGCCATCGCCGAGAAACAAAATGCACACGTCCGAGCGATGCCAAGTAACGTTGCCCTGGGTTTCCGGGTAATGACTCGGCTCCTCTGCGGCCGTGCGGGACACGCTGGGCGCCCTCGGAACGCCCTCGGCGAGGCACAGCTGCTGGAGCCCACCCCGAGGCCAGAAGACGTCGGGCAGCCGACGGAGACGTCCGAAGGCCTCGAGCTTGGAGCCCCGAGCCCATCCCCGCCTCGCGCTGCCCCTGCGTCCTGCCCCACGTAGTCGCCCGGCGCCATGTTCTTCACCTGCGCCTGCGCCTCCTTCCACAGCTCATCGCGCAGCTTGGTGGTGTAGGGCGGCAGCTGGGCCGCCGCAGGCAGGGCTCCCAGG